TTAATATTTTTTGTTCGGTAAACTGGTTCGAACTTTTTCACCGATTTGTTTGCAATCTATTTAAGCAAACTGCATACTTATGGATGCCTTTTCATTTTATCACCACACCATAAAGTTAAAAATATCTTGTTTAAAATAAGTCATAACTCAGGAAAATGTCTTATTGTAATTTTGTGAAACAATAACTTGGAACAAAAACTGAAACAAATCAAATCTCTACAAACCATCACTTGAAAAACTGGATACATTGATATTGAGCAACTGGAAAGAAATGTCTGATTGATTCCCCAAGAATTAACTCATTTTACCACACAGAATATGAATTCACTGATAACTTGGCTGCTAAAAGAATCCTTAAATAACTGAACAATTTAATCAGTTTCACCTACCTTTCAGAGTAGTAGGGAAAAGAGGACTTAACGATTGACCTGGACGCACTTATTTCATGATTTCATAATACGTATGAATATGTAACTTTTACAGAGTTCGTTTATAGGGATTTGATTTGTCTGAAGTTTGATCACGGATTGATATCAGTTAGAGAACCATTGAAAACCAGTGAATATTGAACAGCTGTTTCACCCTCGTTTGAGACTTTTTATCAGTTTTGAACCAAGGACATCCTGGTCACGAGGCGAGTTCATAGAGCATTCAATAACTGGAACGCTATCCTATGGCACATGAATCCCATTTAGGTATTTTAGCTCAACCGTTATCCATCCTCACTCTCTAACTGACATAAATCCCTGATCAAACTTCAAAATACGTGACTTTTGTTGTATCAGCTTGGTAACTGCGTGTAGTTCAAAGGTCATACAGACTCTTCTACAAAGGGATCTTGTTCATTCCTTTGAAAGTATTTAATTCATGATTAAATCATCGTTTAGGTTACTGAAAGTTTTCAATAATGGATCTAGAAGATTTATCTTTGTTTGACATTTTCTGTCCACATTGCGGATGGTGTTTGGTCATGCTAATCGTTGTACCTTCATTCAACCAATTGGTTCTAATTTTCATAATCGCTTCGAGAACCACACACCAGACAACTAGATAGTATCATGTGTTCTGGTGTATGGCGTATAAGAAAAGGCATACCATACTAACTTGTACCAGTTTGTTAAGTTCAATCATTCTCATCGTCTTCTTAAATCTTTCTGAGCAGTAGAACGGGATTTGATTATAATTCACTTTAGTGTTGAAAGGTGCTGTAGCATTGAATTCTAACACTGACAGCGTGTTTTATGAGAATGTGTCGTAATTGTATACACTATTCACTGAACTTCAAATGTATGCATGTATCATTCCCATTATCTAGACAAATATCTGTACTTATTTGTAACTAAATTAAGAAGCAATTTGTTCACTATGTACTAACTAGGATTCATGCTCAGGATCACTCAATAACAAGAAGGATTGTAGTAGATGTGCAATGGCAGAAGACAAGAGACTTGGTAATGGAATGTTGATTTGGAATTTCATGCCTCTATTTGGAGTATATCACTAGCTACAGCCTATCCTGCAGCTCAGTTGGTTCCCGTCCATCGAATAACATTCTCTTTAGTGCAGTCAAAAGTCGACAGATACCCTTTTCATGTTAACTCCAACTGTGTATACAAATTTACGTGTTTTTTTTCAAGTATTGGTTTTTTGTAGGGATTTTGTTTGATTGCATGGAGGATTTAATCATGAGCTGACATCAGTTAGAGAACCACTGGAAAACCTGGGAGTACTGGACAGCCGTTTCGTCCTAGTTTGGGACTCCTCAGCAGTACGCACCCACCGGGATTCGAACCCAGGACCTTCTGGTTACAAGGCGAGCTCGTAGACCATTGAGCCACTGGGACCCGATCCAATGGTCCTTGAATTCTAACTTCTGCCAGTTCACGACATAGCGCGACCACTTCGCAATGTCTTCTTCGATGAGTTACTGCCTCATCTTCGACCTGCTGTACCCTACTGGTCACGGCTTCCCACTAGAACCCCAGGTTAACTGCCTGAATAGGGCCAGTCACTAGTGAGCAGAAGTTAGAATTCAAGGACCATTGGATCGGGTCCCAGTGGCTCAATGGTCTACGAGCTCGCCTTGTAACCAGAAGGTCCTGGGTTCGAATCCCGGTGGGTGCGTACTGCTGAGGAGTCCCAAACTAGGACGAAACGGCTGTCCAGTACTCCCAGGTTTTCCAGTGGTTCTCTAACTGATGTCAGCTCATGATTAAATCCTCCATGCAATCAAACAAAATCCCTACAAAAAACCAATACTTGAAAATTCATCTGATGCTCACTAGTGACTGGCCCTATTCAGGCAGTTAACCTGGGGTTCTAGTGGGAAGCCGTGACCAGTAGGGTACAGCAGGTCGAAGATGAGGCAGTAACTCATCGAAGAAGACATTGCGAAGTGGTCGCGCTATGTCGTGAACTGGCAGAAGTTAGAATTCAAGGACCATTGGATCGGGTCCCAGTGGCTCAATGGTCTACGAGCTCGCCTTGTAACCAGAAGGTCCTGGGTTCGAATCCCGGTGGGTGCGTACTGCTGAGGAGTCCCAAACTAGGACGAAACGGCTGTCCAGTACTCCCAGGTTTTCCAGTGGTTCTCTAACTGATGTCAGCTCATGATTAAATCCTCCATGAAATTTACGTGTATTTGCGGGAGCAGTTACATTGAGCACACCTCCGATTTTCTGAACATGTGCCGAAAAGCCTATGTCTCGAGGGGACAAACTCTTATAGTGGCGCTACTACCATACATCTCCTCTACACGGGTCATGGGGTGGAAATCGAGAAATCCTTCAAAATTATCAATAGAAAGAGGAGTTCGATTCTCCTCAGGTTTGCCTAAGCGATTTCTATCAAACGCTTGAAAGCAAATTCATGTGTTTTGAAAGAAGCAGTTGTCAGTTTTTTCTTTCCCTGGTAGCTAGATGTTTTTATTGTCTTTTTCATTTGATTACGTGATCCTTGGCTTTAAACCCAACCCCTTTTATAATCTTTAATTTTGCTTGTCTCTTCTTTCTATGAATTGAGTTGAGCTCAGTAAATTTTTACCTAATTTATTAGTTACTCTGCGTCTAACGCATCTCTCGTCTTTATTACGTAACTCCTTTACCATTGTATGCATACATTTCTTTTGTTTAAACTTGGACTGTCTGTGTAAAAACTATATAAGCGCAATTTTTTGAGCACTGTTCACTAATTGTGGAACTTTCTGTCAACTGACAACATGTAAAACTTGCAAGTATGTTAAAACTTTTCTGTAGATGAACCTCATAATTTACTTGGACTGTAAGCAGCTGATGAGAAGCCAACGACATAAATAATGGTACCCATATTATTATTATTCTGCACAAACCACTGTTGTTCTTGCTTTATTCAACCTCATTAAGGGGAATAAATGCATGGAATTGGGGAAATTATGTACACTTTATATGAAAATCATCATTAGCACAGATCTTCCGTGTTGCGCTGTGACGAGTTCTACTGACAGGACTTACCAGTAGTATGTACAGATACATTCATCGACACTAGCAGATCAAATATCGAAGAGGTAGGTGTGACGTTAAAGAACGCAAATGATTCAGCGTTGCGGTAGGACATGAGAGACACAGAAAGAAAAAAAAGAAACAGACAGTACGAAAGGCAGAAGTAGCAAAATACTGAAGATCTGTACAAAAGACAACTTCCACATAGAGTGTACATAATTTTCCTACATCTGTGTTTCAAAGTGTAAATAAACATTCCGTTACCAAGTTTACTGTCTTTTCCCATTACAGTGCTACGTCTTCCCTTCGTATTGTGTTTCTTTGTCCTCTGCTTGTGTCTCTCATGTTCTGCCGCGACGCTGAATCATTTGCTTTGTTTGACGTCAAATCTATCCCTTCGTTATTTGATATTTTATATGCTAATCAATGTCTCTTCATATACTACTAACAAATCTTGTCAGTAGCACACGTCACAGTAGTAACTGTATTCTATTATCATAGTCATTTTGTCAAGGAGACGGTAGTAGTAATGATACGGGTATTATATAAACCCACAGTACTATTAGTTTATATATTCACCTAGCAAATTCAGGAAGACAGGATTAACAAAAGTACGATTTGACATCTTCAAACAAACAGGAACAACCACTACAATTAGAGTAAAGAATAAAGCCATCACATGTACCTGCCCACCAGGGTAAAAACCAGATTGACAATTCAGTATAACTCGTTGTATCATGAAGAGATTAAATGTATAAATGGACTGATAGTAAACGCTATGCTGCTAAGTTACTCAAAATACACAGGATTATGAGTAAACTAGTATTTAGACACATTTATTCTAATGTATCTGAATACCTTAACAGCGCAGCTTGTACCTACTCATCCTTCCTGCTTTGAAATAAGCTTACTAATTGAGTATATCCCTTGACTGATAAATTAAGTAACTGGATGTATTCATTAAAAACAAATTCATAGGTAAACTGATATTGAATGTCCCCTGGTTGATTCTCATTGAATTCTGTCAGTCAAGATTGCAGTATGGTCACGGAACTACGTGACTTATTATTACAGTACACTTTCAATAGATATAAGATAATTTGAAGTAGTTTGAACGGACAACATTTCCTTCGATAGTTACTGGTGCTTCTTTTTGTTGTTGTTGGGAATGCAGACAAGTTTTTCTGAGGAGTTCCACACAGAACGATACGTCAATCCTGGATGCTGCTGCTAGCTACCATTAGACACGTAACCTCGAGTTATTAATCCTAGTACTGTAAAGCCATACATTTATATGATGTCGAGCAATTTGGTGCAGATGTACCAACGGAAAATTGTAAACACGGATAAGAGATGATAATCCCAGGGTTGCATAACTCAAACTTACTTCAAGCCTATTAAACTAATTCCATTTATATTCCTAAGGTTCAACATTTTTCACTGGTTTGTTAGGAGAATTTAATTACAAAGAATTGTGTAGTCATATCAAATTGAATTTTATCTCATTTTGTTCTACAACTCAAGGTGAACATTTAGACGAGATTAGAGAAATTGAATTTGTTCATAATATGAGAGAAATGATCAATGGGGAGTTTCGTCATGAAATAGATCAATTCGGATGGACATTTTTCAAAGCTATTGAAGTTGACAATAGTGGTTTTATATCACAAGCATCATATCGAACTTTACAAGAAGCTTGGCATGTTGGACGAGAAGAAGCTGAAGGGATGTTTAAAGTAAGTTACCGTGACAACTGGCTTTAATATTATTTACTTTTATTGGAATTTATACTTAAATTGGTGTTTGTTGATAGATATTGACCAGTGGTAAAATGTCAGGTGCGTATTTCGGCGCATTCAGGATTTGCCATCTGGATGTATCCGCGTTTCTAGTGAGTGATGGTGTCCCCACTGAGAGTGGAACGTAGCGTCTCAGTAGCACCTCTTCAAAGCATCCGGTTCTATGCCATCAATATTTACAGGATATATGACTGCACATATACTTTCATTATCTCCAGGTCGTCCCCAGACGCCCAACTGGGCACTTTTTGGTGTGATACTACTTAACGGTCTACATATTTGTTGAGTGGTAAGCTGTTACCTCATCTGGTTTAGTAGTACACTAGTTTATAAGCTGCTTTTCGGCCTGAAAAAGGGAGCAGGTTCAGGATGGAGCTAGCATTCCTACCTAGACAAGATAGTTCAATCGCAAAAGAAACTAAATGATACAGAAAAATATCAAAGCTGTTTTTATTAGACTAGACAAATGATGTAGCCTCCTTTCGAGAATAAACCAACTGCTGTTTCTCTTTAGTATTTGATACTGAGGAGAGCCCTGGGAATCGTATTGTGACTATGCTTACACTAATTTGATCAGTATTTGTCGAGTTCTTTAGTCTTTTTTAATGACTGGAAGTGGTCTTAGTTATTTTTATCTTCACTAGCATCACTGTACAACGGTCAAATTTTTAGAGGTCTATTCGGTTTCACTACAGGGATAATATTTCTCCATGAATCCCATAAGAAAGCTCAGGATCACTGTAGGTAATCTTTTTTTTTATTACAGCTTGATTCCACACTGTATTTTTGGTACAAGTAGGGAGTTTTCAGCATGGATATCGGTAGTCCAAATTTTGCAGGCCGACCATAGATATCAGGTGTGCGTCGGCAGGGGATCGAACCTCGGGTCATGTGCATGGTCGGTGAGAGTCCTAACCACTGTGCCACCGACAACCACTAATGGTGTCTTGTTTGCAGAATGGTGAACATTTCCAAACTGGGACGGAAAAGCCGTTCAATTATCCTTAGTTTTTACTACATTTCCGACTGCGATGTTGGTTTGTGAGGAAATCTACTGCAAACTAATGGAGATCCCACAGAAAATTAACACCTAGTAATTTCAAGATATTTTTCAGTACAATTTTAAAAGTAACTCATATACAATTTCTGTGAATAGCGCCCATAATTGATAGAGATTAGTACAGCTAGTTTCAAAAGACGAACAAACTTTGATTAGATTAGAGGTGAAGAATCCAATAAAAAATTTTGATTCGATTTGTACTCATCCAACCAGCGCCAAGATATAGGACAAGACACAGTAGACTAGTTAATACCTAGTTGCCAAACAAAATATCTGATGCAGTCTTACAGGAGGCGAATCGCGAGCCCCACTGGCTCAGTGGTAACATCCTTGATTACAGCACCAGGTGACTCAGGTTTGAATATCCAAAGGGACATGAGTTCCTTCAGGATTGAAAATAAGCCTTGCCGACTGGTGAGTGGTAAGAAGCACGAAATCTAAAGCCATGGCTTCCTGTCGATTTGTTTCAACCATCTAATATCAACAATTCAAAGTGTACTGCCACTTAGCGTGGTGGTGACATTTCAAACTTGACCGATAGAATTAGGTCTTCACCGAACAAAGGAACTAGACATATTGCACAAGTTACTAACTATTATCCGATCAGAGTGTACATTTTATTAGTTTGCTTTCCGAGTGGAACATAAGGCTTTAAGCTTAAGGGGTTAAAGTTTCGGTAGAGTCATTGTTATTTTTTTCCAGGGCTGGGATTGCTAGTCTCATGTCCAACCTTCCCTCATTTTCGGGCTTATTACCGGTCAGACGAGGTAAAGGAGTACTTCCACCGGCAACTGAACTCACTCAATATTCTAAAATCACTCAATCTATATATTCTCCAACCAATGTCAGCTCATGATGAAGTCCTGTAACCAATCAACCAAATCCCTACAAACCAATACTTGAATATCAATGAGATGCTCACTGGCGACTGGTCCTATTTAGGTAGGTAGTTACCTGGGGTTCCAGTGGGAAGTCGTGACCAGTAGGCTGTAACAGGTTGCGTGTGAGGACAAATACTCGCCGAAGACATAGGCTAGTGGTTGCGCTATGTTGTGAGTTGGCAGAAGTTGGAATTCATGGATCGGGCATTGGATCGGGTCCCAGTGGCTTAATGGTCTACGACCTAGCCTGCTTCTTAACCAGAAGGTACTGTGTTCGAATCCCGGTGGGTGCGTACTACTGAAGAGTCCCAGGCTAGGACAAAACAGCTGTCCAGTACTCCCAGGTTTTCCACTGGTTCTCTAAGTGTTGTCAGCTCGTGATGAAATCCTTTAACCAATCAACCAAATCCTTACAAACCAATAATTGAATATCTATAATTTTTGATATATTTTGCAGCTGATGTCCTTGACTTATTAATATAAATGACTAATGTTATTTTTATTTACACTTTAGATGATTGACAATGATAAAGATGGGAAAATCAGCAGCGATGAATTTCTTACTGCATGGAATGAATATTTTCTCAGTGAAGATCCACAAAGTCCGTATAGAATGTTTTTTGGACCAGTTATTTCAAGACCAACAGAAGCACGATAAACACATCAAGTTATACCCTCCATCCCCTCTTCCTGTCGCCTTCTGAAAGGAGAAATTCACCTTTATTGAAAATTTAGAATAAAAAAGTGTTCTATTCTTAACAATATTCTCTTAGACTATATACATAAATATCTATTATGCTTCCACTAAAATTCACTTTATCTTAGCTTGATTTATTCGTCTGTATGAAACACTCTTTGTGTTTATATATACATATGCACTACTTGTTCATTCTGTATGAAAAAAGAACACTCTGATTGTCTCAAGCAAAAAAGACATCAGTAATCCTTTAATTTCCACACCTTTAGATTTTGATCTACTTACTTATTGCTTTACCGCTTCAAAATGATCAGATAAAAAAGTTGAAGATCTACACTGTTGAACTGATTTGCATATAGATGAAGATGCAGTTTTATCAAAACAGCGACAGCAGCAGTTTTTGCCTTCTTTCGGCCAAGTAATTATTACCATGAAAACTATGTGAATTTGACTTTGAAAAAAATTCATAGTTCTTGATTCTCATTGAATTGTCGATGGCTGGATTTCTGTTCTCCTTTACTTCTGCACTCACTCAGCGTCATTTTAGATGAGCTCTGTGAGGCACACACACACATACACACTTTAGCTTATGTGGGTTTTTGTTGCCTTTATCATTCTGGTAGTAGTTCAGTTGATTCACTACAACTTTGAAATAGTTCAACACAACAAGTTAAACCTATAAATTGATACTTCAATTAAGTAATTATTTTACTGCATGTATTACTACAATAATGTTTCTTTAACATATGAATATTACTCAACAACATGAAAAGATATATATATATATATATATACATATAGAATTAAAGTTCTGTTTTGACTTTGTTTACATTTTCGGGAAAAAATATGGGTAAAAATGTAGAAAATATTGTGAGGTGTTATGGAAATAGAAAAAGTCGAAGAATTTCTAATTTAAGAGTCAGAGATGTGGCGAGCCCTTCTCGAAAATTATATCTAACAGGCTATGTCCCCTGCATAAGCATTATCGAACTCTGGCAGTGAATGAAACAACGGGGGAAGACTCAGCGGATAACAGAAGTATGCAGAAAGAAATGCAGATAGGTTGGGCATACACTGAGGAGGCTGTCGAATAACATCAAATGCCCGACCCTCAAGTGAGAAATGACAACTTGGGCGTGTAAGGGTAACACCATAGGGAAAATCGTGTGAAGAGGAAACAGAAGGACCTTAATAGTCGTTGGATCAGGTAAAAGTGACTGCGAGGAACAAGGTATCATGGATAAAAAGATAAAACTTTAGCACTGTGGTAGACTATAACTTCATTATGGATAAAATTTTATTTTGATAAAGTCACACATTGCTATACAGTAATATTTAATGATGATCACGTTTCGAGCACAACTGATTACTGTTCACAATCATATCAAGGTACTCACACAACTTACTTACTTCGTTTATGTACATTAGTAAAAATTGACGATTAGACATTTGAATAAAATCAACATAAAATAAAGTACATTCGGAAATAATATTCGTGTTATCAATAAAATACAATAAGATGGGAAATAAGATGTTTTTAAAGTAAAATAAACAACTTGTTAGAATGCTGTAATGTATATGGATTGAAATAGAATTTTAAGATTATTTATTATCCTCCTCTGACTTGACTGGTGGTAATATCTCCCATATCTCTGGTATTTGCATTAAGCCACTTGTACTGCATGTGTTGGACGCAGACTCGAGGAACCAAGATTCACTAATCAATCTCTCTCCCTCTCCATCAACCGAAAATAATTTTTAGAATTTAGGCTCTTTCCCACCCTATTGTCTGATTGTGTGTTAATTCATGCAGTAATACTGATGATTTTTTTCTAAATTACTTATGTTCATGGGATTAATCATTCTAACCTTAACTAAATTCTCGTGTTCTGATAATCTCACTACTCCTGATCTACTAGTTTGACCTATATAGTTGACTTCACTCACAGTCACTGCAAGGTATTTTGTAAATTATATTATTTTATTTAATTGGGTCCACTGGGTATATAAAGGAAGAAAGAAAGTTATGTGGGAGTACCTTGATATGATTATGAGCAGTAATCAGTTGTGCTCGAAACATGGTCATCAGTAAATATTACTGTATAACACTGTTTGATTTTATAAAAATAAAATTTTATCCATAAGGTATAGTGGAGACATATCGCATAAGCTTTAGGTTTCACTTATATTTCATGGAATGAGCGTTAATCATAATGCTTTTCAAGTCATAGAGAAGATTTGTTGCCCAGGTGAAGGTTTTTATAGAGTGGTTATGTTCTCTCAACTGGATGATTCTCCTGTGAAGCCTTCTCCACTCCTTTTAAATGCAAAACATTCACTGCCTATATATATATGTATATTATATATAGCCTCTTAGGAAAAGTTGATCTAATATTAAGTTGTATATGGTTTTTACCATATCTTCGATTGTAGACCACCTTGTCCGAATATGTCATAAAGCAAGAAGGAGTAGTTTATGTTCCTCATGGATTACATTTAGTTTAATTCAACTGTTTTATAATTATTATTTAAGTGGAACTAATGGGTGAGACTAAAATTTAATGTGAAATTGTCAGTTAGTTATTCACTTAAGCGATGTATAGAAATGTAACTTAAATTTATGCGAACATGTGAGTGTTATAAATCTACTATTACATAATATGGACACTAAAGCTTAAAATCAACCACTGTGTGAATTTTCATTCTCTTTTATTCCTTATGAACTTGCTGTGATGATATCCATCTACTTTATCAGAATCATTTTCAGCGAATTTCGACTGCTTTTCTGCTGGCTAGGCACATTATTTACTTTCATTGGACGTTAGTTAGTGACCTAATGTCATGCGCCTAGTCTTTCGTTTGCTGCAAACTGAATTCTGTCAACCGAATTCGCAATAATGCCGTCATCATCATCATCATCATGGCACACTCGAAATATTATTATATGTTTAGAGGCAATCAGTAAGAAGCCCACCGTGACCTAGATCTCGTGCTTGTTGGCACTCACCAGTCAGCAAAGTGTGCCTGTAGTCTTGGTGGAACTTATTTACCTCCTGAAACTCGAATCCGTATTGCCTAGTGATTCAGTCAGCGACGTTACCACAAAGTTACTTGGCCTCGCGATGGACCTCCTGTAGGACTGAAAGTAATGGATACTTTCATTGAACTCTAGGCAGTAAATGATGTGAAGCATCTAGTAGTTCGTTTGATGCAGACATTGTAAACTTAACTCATAGAATTTAGTTTTCACTGGATAACACGGAAAGCTACCGTTTAAAATGTCGTTTTTTAAGCACGAGCCAGTAAAATATTAAATTCAATCTGATTTTCCTGTCGATTGATTAGATCGAAGTATTCGGTTACCGGTTGACGTCCAGATGGTAAGTCCCAAATGGGACGAAATGCACATCCTGGATTCCACCGCTAGTCACCATCCACCAACTGACTTCAGGTTACATGACCAGACATCGTCGAAACATCTGCTCAAGGGGCCGGCATGCCAGCCTGAGACCGAACACTTCGGTCCAATCAATTGACGGGGGGAATCTAAATTGAACTTAACAAATAATAAGATCCATTGCAAAAGAGGTAGATGTTGTGTCTCACAAACGGTCCAGTGGATAATGATTTGACGTTTGAAACTATGAGCACTATGTTCGAGCCTCGGGGAGAATACCATCACTCACTGGACAATGAAGGTATATCCAGTTGAAAAGTCTCAAATAGGACTAGATACATGTTGTCCTGGATTCGACTGTTAGTCACCATGCAGCGACTGACTTCATGAGCCAGTAAAACTAATACGATCTGCTAACCCTTTTGAGTGACCAAAACAAAGGCTGAAGGTGCAATCTGAAGCAATCAATATTTGATGGAAGTGGCCTTTTTGGACTGAAAGTAGGCGACATGTTGTTAGGCTAGTCAAATACATTAGAACAAACATGTCTAAGTACTAGGTTACACGTAATTTCATGTTCTTTGAATGAATGAACGACACGAGTTTGCTATCTGTCGGTATCTTCGTAGCCCAAAATTCAAGAAGACCGCCAGTATTTGCCATTGTGATTTGGTATTATTCAAAGCTAAGTTTCATATATTTTAATTACAAAAGTACTGCGAAACTCATCTATTTACTTTTTTACTTAAGAACATCTTTCTTATAGGCGCCTTCATTTAAATATCTTTTAGATATAAAATTTGTTAAACTGTCCTTATGTTATTTATTCTAGAATATTCGACCACTGTTTAAAAAAGGGATCAATAAACTACTTTTTTATTGTATATCCGAAATCGGGTCAGTTTTATTCCACTGTCACCATTCCAATTGGTGGATTTAGGAAGTAGTTCAAATTTCATTTTCTTCTTTCATTTTTCTGCCTGAATATTTATCAAAATAGGCGTTAATATGACTTAGTCAAAAATTAACGTTTGCCCATCACCATTTTATCTCTTTATGGGGAATAAAACACTCCGAAAAGGAGTTATTCGAGGCTTCAAGAGTGTTTATAGAAAATCTGATTGTAATATTAAAAGATAGAATTAAAAAATGCTAGAATCAACATAAGTCTTATCATATTCAAAGGATAGACGTGATCATTAACTGATATTAATCAGAGAAACACTGAAAATGAGGAAGTACTAAGCGGGTGTTTCATCCCAGTCTGTAACTCTTCAACAGTAGACCTTCATCAGAAAGTGGACTCGAGACTTTTGGGGCGTGAAGAGAGTTCATTGACCAATTAATGTATGCTTATGGTTTAACTTCGAAGTCTGTGAAATTTTTGCAAACCTATTTTTAGAAATAAACTTGAACTTGAGTTCAAGTATTCTTGCAGACTGAAATCTGTGCGCATCTAATGCAATTTACTAAACTTATGTAGTTGTATTCTCTGAGCTGCTTGGTTTAACTACCTGGTTTTCCTTGTCTCTATCATCAACATCTTCATGACAGACTTGAATAT